GGATCTTGGGTACACATGCACACGTGCCTGGCGTGAATTTAAGCCACCAGGTCCAGGACTCAAACAGCGGTTGACTACATGGGAGTTCAGTGACATACCCATTATGCCAACTGCTGATCCTGAAACTTTTTTTTTTTTTTTAAGGTTTTTGTCATAGGGCGTATGCACCCAGTAGAGAGAGACAGACAGAAACAGTAAGAGAGAAAGTAAGAAAACATCCTTCAGAGGGTTGGTCACACCACAATCCCTTCTCCATTTCTCTCCTGAGGTTTTGGGCATGCATACACATGTATCCAGTGAGATTTTCAAGCCATCAGGTCTGGAACTTGAACCACAGTCACCCATGTGGAAGTCCAGCACCTTAACCACCACACCACCTGCTGACTCCTCCAGTGAAACTTTCTTAATGATAACCACTGGTCACATGTGGTACTTGATATATAACCAATGCAACTGAAGAATTGAATTTTAAATTTCAACTTTAAAAGTCATATGTATCTAGTGGTTACTCTTATTAGCTGTCCTAAAGTGTTATGTTTCAGAAGTGGTCCTCTAACAGGAAATAATTAAGTGAGACTCGTTAGCTGAGCTAGTTCTAGGCAGGTTCATGTTTTCTGCCCATCCCTTCCCTGTGGGGGATATGCGTATCTCTAGGGAGCTTTGTAACTAAGGCTTGAAGCACCACAGAGGAAGAGCAAGTAGATTCATGAGGGGTACAGTCATGGAGGGGCAGCTGCTTGGTAAGGAGCTTTTCTAGTCAGGTATCATGCTTCATTTTTTTTTTTTTTTTTTGGAGAGATTTTCACTGTAGGGCGCGTGCGCTCGCCAGACAGACAGAGAGAGACATAGTGACAGAAAGCGAGAAATCACCCCCCAGGGGGGATGGTCACGCCGCAATCCCTTCTTCTCCATTCTCCTCTCGGGATCTTGGGCACGCACGCACATGCGCCCGGCGTGAGTTTTAAGCCACCGGGTCTGGGACACGAACCACGGTCGACTACGTGAGAGTCCAGCGACATAGCCATTACGCTAACTGCTGGTTCCCACATGCTTCATTTTTGTATTAAAGAAATTTTTTTTGCCCTCCTACTTTATTTGCTAAGCCATAAAGCAAGTACTTAAAGATGAAGTAATCCAATTTTTAAAGTAGACATTTAAACAAAAGTGTATTATGTTAGTTCTTTCACTGTACAATGTCATCCAGAGGATTCCTAGTTAAATCCCCTTGATATTTTTGATGAAGACAAGCAAATTTTCTTTCCAGTAAGTTTCCATTAAACATTGACATTGAAATTTTCTTTCTTTAGAGTAACAGTGAGTTTATAATTTTTGATATTTCAGGTTGGTACAGTGAAGACCCTTGTATAGTCTTCAGACAGTTAAATGTTTTAATGATTCAGACAACTAAGCTAGCTTATAGAGTACTAACTATCAATTTTGTGTGTTCATTTCTTTTTTTTTTTTTTTTTTTTGGAGAGATTTTCACTGTAGGGCGCGTGCACTCGTCAGACAGACAGAGAGAGACATAGAGACAGAAAGCGAGAAATCACCCCCCAGGGGGGATGGTCACGCCGCAATCCCTTCTCCTCCATTCTCCTCTTGGGATCTTGGGCACGCACGCACACGCGCCCGGCGTGAGTTTTAAGCCACCGGGTCCAGGACACGAACCGCGGTCGACTACGTGGGAGTCCAGCGACATAGCCATTACACTAATTGCTGGTTCCCTGTGTGTTCATTTCTTAATAGTTGTATGGCTGTAGTGGTTGACTTTATATTTTGCTAGAGGAAAGGTCAATGTTAGAAAAATTGTGGAATTTTCCCTTGGCATTACTGTGGTAAGTAGACAGCTACTATTTATAGAGATTTATATTTTGTTGAAAAAAAAAAAAAAAAGACATACCCTGCTTGGCTTACCATAAAAACATAGATGCTTCTAGATTCCAGCAGGGAAGGCTTTCGCTCACAGCATCTGTTTTAGTTGGCCAACCAGTTGACTTCTACAGATTGTTTCATTCTTTTTTGAAGGACACTTGACATGTAAACAAGTTCACAAATGAGTAAGTTAACATTTTGCCAACTTTTTATTTTTTTTTATTACCTAGGCTATATCATCAGTTCTGTGTAATTTTCAACTATTAGGTCATTTTAGTTAAGTCGTGTTACTTCCTAAATAACCTTAAAATGATCAGTCCATCGCATGCATGTTCTTTGGAGGGTCTATTCTGTGGTTGAGACAGATTTTTGTTTTTCTGTAATTGATGCATTTGACACATGTTTAATGAGGACACACTGCGTGCCAGGCCCTGTACTAGCCCTTTGCATTTTTCAGAAGGTTAGAGCATTCTGTTTCTTAGGAAGGCAGGAAACTAAAGAAGTTTCGTACATTTTGGTCAGATGGCTGGTCAAGCTGTGACCTTGGGTAAAATGCTGTTTCATTCAAAGAGCAGACTTATGACCTAAACTTTATTCATCTCTTGCTCTAAATTAATTATTTCTAAACATTTGATCATGAAACCCATAAATTCAATAATGTTTTGATTAATTACCCAATATATATGTATAGTCATTTACAAATGACATACTAACAGTTTATAGTCAAATATACAAAAAAGAAATTAAAAAGATGATGTTAAGATGAATGTATAATATCATAATTTTGCTTATTAATATTATAGAAAGCAAAGTAATGCATCTTTAAAATCTTGGGTTGGCCCCATCTGCCGAGGTGCAGCAATAAGGCCGGCACCCCACAGTGCCAGAAGCACCTGCGGTTTCAATCTTGGAAAGATGTGCTGGGCGCACACAGGAGCACCCAGGATCCTGCGGAGCTGGAGTGTGTGTGAGGGCATTGCAGTGTAATTAGACCTTACCGAGGGTACTCCTCTGCTCTCTCCATTTCTCTCTCATATCTGTGCACACTTTCTATCATTTAAAAAAAAATGTGATTAAACATTTTGCAAAGCAGCTATTCAGAGTGCTATTTCTAAATTCGTTTTATTTTGATACTTAATGGTAATCAAGCCTGGATAAAATTGGGGAAATTGGGCTGTACTTTCTCCCAAACATAGCCACCATTGTGGAAACGTTTACTGGAATGTGGCTAGTAAATTTCCATCCGTCTATTGGTTTTTGTTGCAGATTAATCAAAATATGTTATACTTTCATTGTGCTAATAAATGGGTTGAGAAAATCACTGAAGTCTTCATTTGGATGATTTTTCCAGATTAGAACATTGCGTTTCTAACTTTTTAAAAATATGCAGTGATGAGGTTTTGCTTGCTTGTTCGTTTTTAGGTAATATATTTTGTTTTCAATAGCAGAATTCCTTAGCAATGGAAATGTTTTCAAATATCCAGTTTTGAAATGCTCTATTCATTACAGCAAGGTATCCCCCCCCCTTTTTTTTTTCCTTTTTGGAATCAGGGACTCACTAGGTTCAAGCTGGCCTTGAATTCATGAGCTTCTTGCCTTAGCCTCCTGAGTAGCTAGAATTATAAGTGCACACCACCAGACCTAGCAAGACATCTTTATTTTATGGAGCAGAAAGTTGCTTTTTGTTTTGTTTTAAAATTTTATTTCATTGGGAGAGAGGAAAAAGAGAAAAAGACAAGCACTCTCAATAGGAAAATAGCAAAAAAAAAATCTCTCTCTCTCTCTCTCTCTCTCTCTCTCTCTCTCACACACACACACACACACACACACACACACACACACACAAAAGGGAAGAGAAGGGAAGGGAGGGGAAGGGAAGGAAAGGAAAGGAAGAACTATTTGGAAGATGACTTTTCTAAGAGAGGTTTTCATAGAGTGTGTATACTCACCAGAGAGACAGAGAGAAAAAGAGACACAGGAAGCGAGGAGGGGATGGCCACGCTACAATACCTTCTCCTTCAGTCTCCTCTTGGGATTTTGGGCATACACACGCGCACGCCCAGTGTGAGTTTTAAGCCACCAGGTCTGGAACTCGAACCTCAGTCAACTATGTGGGAGTCCAGCGATGCAACCATTACGCATCTACTGGTTCCTAGAAGAGTGGTTTTTCTAATTCTATAGGAGATATGGTTCATAGCCACTTGGGGTCATTTATAAAAATATTCTTTTACTAATACACTTTTATTACATTTATTAAATTTACTTCATTGTACTTAAAAGAATTTTAATTGCCAGAGGATACATGTACCTGCCAGGGAGATGAGGTGGGGGAAACCTCCCCCACTGGGGTATGGTCATACTGCAGTCTCTTCTACATTTCTTCATTCTGTTGGGATTTGGGGCAGGTGTGCACACATGCCTGGTGTGTTTTTCTAGCCACTAGGCCTAGGTTCGAACTATAGTCAGTCATGTGAGATTGGGCTCCCTTAACCCTGGGCTATAGGGCCGGGCTTCATTACATTTTTGTCAGTCACAATTCTTCTCTTTGGAAGAAAGAGACCAGTTCAGATAAGCTTGAGCCAAAAACAGTTTATTGGCTCATAACCAATGTTTAGGACTGCTCTCAAGGCCTTTAACTTGCTTGTCAGATCTGTGCTTCCAGCTCTCTGTAAGTTTGTGTCTCTGTCACCTTTTCTTTCTCAGGGACTGTTGGACTGTCATTTAGAGCAGAAAGTCTTCCTCCATGTGGTGGTGGGGGCAAAGAAGAGTGCCTTTCTTCTAGTGCCTGTACATATAAAATCCCATGATGGGATAGGAGTATATGTATTTGGTTTGGGTTTGGGATTTTAAGGTTTTTGCCATAGAGTGTGTGTACTCATGGGAAACAGACTGTGTGGTTCCATGTGTGCTGTGGTTGACAGTCCCACAAAACCACATGGAATGAGGGAAGGAACAGTTTCGCAAAAGAAGGGTTTGCTGTTACCACAGAGGAAGGGATGCTGGGAGTCAAAAACAATAGATTTTTTACTACAGCATTTGTAGTAATGAAGAATAGAGGACAGGAAGATGAAATAGTCTATAAGGTAAGGGGACAGTATGTAATTTTTCTAATTATTGATTCTTCCAGAGTATGCAAGCTGCGAGATGTCCTACAGATGAATTATCTTTAACCAACTGTGCAGTCGTGAATGAAAAGGATTTCCAGTCTGGCCAGTGAGTATTGACTTTTGTTTTTTCTTAACCTGCTAAGTGGTATCTGAAACTTCCAGAGTCATGTTTTTTAGAGAACTTTTGAGAGTAATTTTTTAATATTCCTCTTACTGAATTAGAAAATGGAGGGGATAAGAAAGAGTTCTGTATTTCAAATATTACCACATCAGACTTTTTTTTTTTTTTTTTTTTGAGAGGTTTTTGTTACAGGGCGCATGTGCTCGCCAGAAATCACCCCCCCCATCCCCCCGGAAGGATGGCTACGCCACAGTCCCTTCTCCTCCATTCTCCTCTCGGGATCTTGGCACTCATGCACACGTGCCTGGCATGAGTTTAAGCCACCAGGTGCAGGACTCGAACTTGGTCGACTACATGGAAGTCCGTCATTATGCCAACTGCCAGTCCTTACCACATCAGACTTTTAAAAAATTTTGCTGGAAGGTGTATGTGCTGACCAGAGAGAGGCTGAGAGACAGAGACACAGAAAGAGAGAAAAAACACTACTCCCATGGGAAATGATCATGCTGCAATCCGCTCGCCTCCATTTTGGGCACGCACACACAAACCTCCAGTGTGTTTTTCAAGCTGCAGGGTCCGTGATGGTTATATTTAATTTCTGGGTAACGTCTGAGCAGGGAATTAGCAGAACTAGCCCAAAATTCTTCAAAATAGTAAATGTTGATATCTACATGAAAACTAATCTATTTTGGGAAATTTTTAAGTTTTATCATCTTTTTTATTTTATAGGTTGTTATTGCTTGAAAAACATCTGCAGAGAGTTTTTAAGTTTTATTCACTAATAAAGCTTCAAAACTAAACTACTTTTTTAAAATACTATATCCTAGCTCCTCAGTCTTTGGTTGTGAACTAATTCTTAGGAGAAGGAATCCCTCTAGTTTTCACTGGGCACACAGTGAAAGGATTCCGAATCACTGGCTTTTTTGTTTTCTGTAAACTGGAAATGCAGCGAATTGATATTTTGGATGGCATTTATTCTATTGAGGTTGGCTGTAATATGCTTTATGATGCTTTTTATGTGTGGAAAACATCCCAAGTTGTTGACAGTCTTTGGAACTAAATTTATAGATTTTTTTTCATATAAGGTCTCATGATGTCATTTCCACCTGGTGCTTGTCAAACACCAGTTTGGAAGGAAACACCTTTGAAGATGATGGGCTCTATTTCCTTTAACGGAGTACGGACTGTGTTTCTGTCTTTCAGGCATGTCATCGTGAGGACCTCACCCAATCACAGGTACACGTTTACACTGAGGACCCATCCATCAGTGGTTCCAGGGAGCATTGCATTCAGCTTACCTCAGGTAACTCAGATCTTAACTCACTCTCTTCTGTTCTTGAAAGTCGTAAAAGAATCAGTTCATTTTAAGCAAGCATGACTCTGTGACCGTATTAATTCACACTTAAGAAAAACAGATATTATATAAGGAATTTAAAGGTATGTTTATTTTTCTTTTTTCTTTCTGAGAGACAGAGAAAAGGAGACAGAGAGAGAGACAGAGAGAGATATTTTTAACAGGTTGTATTGTGATTCTTCTGCCCCATTCTCCCTATTCCCTGGGATTACAGACATGTGAAGCTGTGCCCAGCATGGCTGAGTGGCCCAGGAAGCCCTTCTAGTCCTCCCACACAGCTTCCAGCTTCCCTAGTGGTGGCGCTATCTCTCTGGGGCCTCCCATGCAGCCTCTAGCCTCCTTAGTGGGGTGTGCTCTGTGTGCCACTGCAGCTGGGCCAGATGATGCGTTCTCAACTGCCAGTTGTTACTGTGGCTGTCTTTTATTGCCTTGATGTTTTTTTCTGATTTTTAAAAATTCTGGAGTATTATCAGTCAACTACCTGATAAAGTGTCAAGCTATTGTAATGTTAATGTTTCTCCTAGGGTAGCAGAAAAGATATGAAAATAGTATTTTAGCAGTAAAATTAACATCTAATAATAGTAATTTTTATAAAGCAATGATGTTAGACTAAAGAGTACGGAAAGAATAGTTATCTCAAAGTACAACCTCACTTTCTGGGCTCCTATAAGAACTGAAAGAATTTTGAGTACAGCTGTAGCTATCTGTGGATGCTGTGGAATCCACAGACCTGCCTTGCCTAGCACTGTCCCAGGCACATTATTGATAATACAGGAGCACTACAAGTTCTAGTCTGCATTCTTTTCTCCTTTATCATTTCACTCAGGTGCTGACCCCATGGACTTAAGCAATGTAAATACAATCCCTGCCTCCTCCTGTTAGGTCATCAGGAAAGTCCTGACATTCTTTTCTATGCAAAAATGCTTCATGACTGTCCTGACTGTAAGCACTGATTTACTTCCTTGGAGGTTTAGGAAAAGAAAACACACATTTTAGAACTTTAAGATGTCTGGAAGCCCTCAGAAATTCTGGTAAATCTTCACTTACTATTCCCCTCTTCTCTGTTTGATTGCTTCTTCATTACTAGGGCTGCATTTCCTATTCTTTTCTATAGATTAAAAGTTTGGGATAGGAAATCCTTTGAGGCTGTCTTTGGGATTAATAAAACCTAAAAGTGGGGGGTTAAGCCATGCTGCTAAATTTTAGGTTGTCCAGATGTGAGGCTGGGTTTTATAGAAGAGATTTTGTAGGAGAGGTGAAGGGCAGAGGGGAGGGAATGTGACCTGTGGTAAGAAGGCTAGTGGAGCCAGCAGGTGGTGTGATGGTTAAGGTGCTGGACTCCAACATGGCCGACCATGGTTCAAGTCCCAGATCTGGCAGCTTGCTTTCTCACTTTTTCTCTCTCCTTTACTGTCTCTTTTGGGTGAGCATACATGCCTTGTAACCGATTAAACAATAATAATAATAATCATAATCATAATAAAATTAAGTAAATCTTTTTTTAAATGTAAAAAGAAGGCTGAAAGGCAGCCAGCACTTGCTGTTGCACATATGCCTGACACAGTGTCTTCTACACTATCCCACGCTATCCACAGTATTCAGATGAGTAGGCAAACTATTGATTTTCAGCCAAAAATTATTTTTCTCACTGTTCTTTGGAGTATTATCAGTAATTACTAATTTTGAATCTGTTCCAAGCCCGCTCCCAAATCCTGCCCAAACACAGTCTGGGCTACCTCTGTAGATTCTTGGTGCTGGACTCCAACATGGCCGACCATGGTTCAAGTCCCAGATCTGGCAGCTTGCTTTCTCACTTTTTCTCTCTCCTTTACTGTCTCTTTTGGGTGAGCATACATGCCTTGTAACCGATTAAACAATAATAATAATAATCATAATCATAATAAAATTAAGTAAATCTTTTTTTAAATGTAAAAAGAAGGCTGAAAGGCAGCCAGCACTTGCTGTTGCACATATGCCTGACACAGTGTCTTCTACACTATCCCACGCTATCCACAGTATTCAGATGAGTAGGCAAACTATTGATTTTCAGCCAAAAATTATTTTTCTCACTGTTCTTTGGAGTATTATCAGTAATTACTAATTTTGAATCTGTTCCAAGCCCGCTCCCAAATCCTGCCCAAACACAGTCTGGGCTACCTCTGTAGATTCTTGCCATTGTAACCAGTCAGGATTAGGGAGAGGCTAAAATCTGTCTATAATCGCCTGAAAATTCTTGGCTAGTGTGAAAAGAGTAGTCATGACCATCAAATGATTTATTTGAGTTCCTACTTAGATTTCGGTATACATTATTGACTAGTTGTAATTTAGCTTCATGAATTGAATGTCTTTTTGTGATACTGTAACAATTAGTCAAACTACCTACAGCAGTACCTAGGATGCCATACACCGAGGAAGACATACCATCACGTGTGTGATATTCCGGTGGGGAATAAATAACCTAGACATCAGGAAACAAGCTGAAATTGTAGAGTGTTCTATACAATGTATTTGTTCAAAATGTTACCATTATGAAAGAAAGAAAAAGCTGAAGAACTACTTTAAAATGGCATCTACATACAGTATATGATCCTGAACTAAATGCACGTAATTGAAAAATTCTGTAAGGGCAGTAACTGGAATAATGAACAGAAATGGAGTAGCAACAATAGATTGCTAGTTCAGCATGACCTCATCTGAACTTGGTTGTATCTGCAGAAACCTCGTTTTTAAACATAGTCACGTCTACAGGTACTGGGGGCTAAGACTTCAGTATATTTTGAGGGGGACGGACACAATTTAGTATGATAGCATACTGTTTTTCAGTCTTTGTGAATATGTTCCTGAGATTCATAGAATTACTCTTTTCCTCATTTCTCTAATTTTGATTGATTTGGTTTTAAGTGTCTTTTTTTTCTCTCTCTCTCTCTCTTTTTTTTTAATAGCGAAAATGGGCCGGACTTTCTATTGGGCAAGAAATAGAAGGTATGTATATTTTTTAGTCATCCGAGTTAGATTTTTTTTTTCATGAGTCTTGAGATCTGTTCTTTTCATGTTACTGGTTGTCAGGACCTAAATATTCATTTTATTCATAGTACTGGTTAGCTTTATGAGAACAGAAAGGAAATAGGTGTGATACCTGTGTTCCTACCTCTTTTATTATTGTAGTTCATTAGTGAAAGGCAAGGAAAACAAATTATGACTTCAAGGGAAAAAGAAATAAACTGCTTACAAATAATAAAGCAGGGGCTAATAAGCAAGAACTGGCTTTGTCTCTCGGTAAGTGTGGGAGGGTTGGGAAAATGGAGTATGACTCTTCTTTAGTCAGGTTGTGTTATGTCAGCTTTATGAGTACAGCAGGGAAGGAAAGGAAGTGCAAGTATAATGAAGCCAGCCGTTTTTCTGGTTGCTTTGAAAAAAATTTTAAATTTATATTTATAAGAAGGTTCCTGGGATCAGCAGTTGGCATAATGGCTGTGTCGCTGGACTCCCATGTAGTCGACCGCGGTTCTGGTATAAGCCACCCGGACCCTGTGGTTTAAACTCACGCCAGGCATGTGTGCGTGCGTGCCCAAGATCCCGAGAGAAGAATGGAGGAGAAGGGATTGCAGTGTGGCGTGGCCATCCCCCCTGGGGGGCGATTTCTCACTTTCTGTCTTTCTGTCGCTCTCTTTCTGTCAAGTGCATATGCCTTATAGCAAAAACCTCTTAAAAAAAAAAAAGGTTCCAAAAATAATACAGAGAATTCCCACATATTACCTTTACCCAGACTCACTAGTTGCCATATTTTCTTTATTATTTTCTTCCCTCTCTCCTCACATATGTCTTTTTCTGTACCATTTGAGATTAAGTTACAAAAATCATTCTTTTTTACCACCAATATTTCCCTGTATATTTCCTATAAAGATATGCTATCATAGCTATCAAATTCACTTAAACGTTGATGCCTTTATCATATGCATTCCACATATGTTTATTATCCCAGTTATCTCCCTTACAGCCTCGATCCCCTTCAGAGTAGATCTAGTTTGGGATCTAGTTGTTCTTTCTCTAATCTAAAATAGTTCTTCAACTTATCTTTTTTCTTTGATGATGGTGACACTTTGAATGAATACATTTTATAGTACGTTTTTCAATTTAGGTTTGTCTGTTTCCTCACAATTAGATTAGGTTATTTATCCCCCACCAGAATACCACACCAGGGATGTTACCTCCTCTCAATGTATCACATGCTGAGTACCAAGTTTGATTCAAGATGTTGCCTGGGTTCTCCACTGTAGAGTTACTTTTCTCCCTGGCTACTAATAAGCTTCTGTAGAAAGAATATAAGACCATGTGACTATCCTGTTCCAGATCAAACTTCCTGCCTTAGTTATCCACTGATGCATCTTCTCAGCATCAGCTTTATTTTGGGAGAGGTTTTGCTATAGGGCGCGTGCGCTCGCCAGAAAGCCAGAGAGAGACAGAAAGCAAGAAATCACCCCCCACACCACAGTCCTTTCTCCTCCATTCTCCTCTCGGGATCCTGGGCACGCATGCACACATGCCTGGTGTAGTTTAAGCCACCGGGTCCGGGACTCGAACCACAGTCAACTACATGGGAGTTCAGCAACATAGCCATTACACTAACTGCTGGTCCCTTCTCGACACCATCTTGAAGATGGCTACAAAATGATTTTCCAACTGGAGTGCATCTTACACATTTTTTAAAATTTAATTTTATTATGCATTCATTTATTTTAATATGACTAGAGAGAGAGGGAAAGTGAGAAAGCAAGTCACCAGGTCTGGGACTTGAACCATGTACGTTTATCAGTCTGTATACTGAGGAGAAGCATTCCCTTCTCTCCCATTAATGTATCTACGTATTATCAGCATGGACTTACAGATCCCTATTTAATTCAATAGTCTAAAGTGTATCCCTGACCATATTCTGTTAGATGTTCAAGTTATTCCAAATTTTGTCAGTAGAACAGAAGCTGACTCCTTCATCTTTTTGGCATGCTCCTGTCTTTTTTTTTTTTTTTTTTTTTTTTTTTTTTTTTTTCTTTTTTGTCCACAAAACGTTTCTAGTTTATCATATACCTTTCCTGCCCCAGCCTTTACATCAGCCATTTTCCCAAAGAAGCAAAGTTCCCTTTAGAAGGATATTGTTTAGAAACTGAGTCTGCTGTCAGATTGCTACTAGGGTCTCATTCCTAAGCTCTTTCAGTGGACAAAGCAAAATACACACACACACACACACACACACACACACACACACTCTGGAAGTGGTGAGTTCATACTAAATACCTCCAATTTCAGACTAACTTCGTACAGGACTTCTGTGCTTTCCCCATTTCCCCATATTTGCAAGAAGGCTTGTGCAAGAAAGAGCAAGGAAACCGCCCGGTGGGGCATGGTCATCCCGCAGTCCCTTTCCCTCTGTCTTTCCATCCTGTCAGGATTCTAGGCACACCCACTCATGTAGTTCTGGTGTGTTTTTAAAGCTCTTGGGGCTGAAATTCTAACCACAATAGGCCGTGTGGAATCCAGCTTCCTGTGCACAGCCCTTAAACACTGCACTTTGGGGTTGTCCCTCTCCCATTCTGTATTTGTATTTTTCTTTTTTTCCTCTGTAAGAATTTTGGCTCTCAACAACATCAATATGTTTATTTCTTAGTTCTGTCCTACAAAACATAAAATAGTTTGAGAATTGTTATACCCATATTAATATAGAAATACACCTGTTAAAAAAATCCAGACTGCTTTGCAGTTCTTTCCCCCTGGACTAAGGATACGTAGCTCAGGTACTGTGTTCAATATTGGTTGTCAGGAAAGTCATGAAACATTTTTGCATAAAAAAATATGTCATGACTTTCCCAACCTAATAGTTATTTGGATTAGTTATCCTTACACCCTCACTCCAGGGTAGTTATACTATTGATTTGGTATACAGTTAGGTTTTGCTGTTTCTGTTTGCATTCAGTTTTAGGCTCCCCATACTTTATCACTTTGAATATGTGAAACATTAATATGCATTTAAAAGTCAAAACTACACAAAAGATATATACTCAGAAATGTCATTTCCTCCTCTTTCCTGGCTCTCAACAACATCAATATGTTTATTTCTTAGTTCTGTCCTACAAAACATAAAATAGTTTGAGAATTGTTATACCCATATTAATATAGAAATACACCTGTTAAAAAAATCCAGACTGCTTTGCAGTTCTTTCCCCCTGGACTAAGGATACGTAGCTCAGGTACTGTGTTCAATATTGGTTGTCAGGAAAGTCATGAAACATTTTTGCATAAAAAAATATGTCATGACTTTCCCAACCTAATAGTTATTTGGATTAGTTATCCTTACACCCTCACTCCAGGGTAGTTATACTATTGATTTGGTATACAGTTAGGTTTTGCTGTTTCTGTTTGCATTCAGTTTTAGGCTCCCCATACTTTATCACTTTGAATATGTGAAACATTAATATGCATTTAAAAGTCAAAACTACACAAAAGATATATACTCAGAAATGTCATTTC